TTTTTGTTTAACACACTAGTGTTAAAAAAATAGTAACATTAATTTTGCATTATTTCGCGGTTTATTTATTTAAATCCTACGTTGTTCTATAAATGTACCTGATCTGTAATCACTGGATTGTCTCACGTCGCCCGGGGCTATGCCCACTCCCTGCTGTACAATGCATTTTATCTTTATTAAGCTGTTAATTCCAGAAATACAAATCAACACAATTTAAATAGAATTGGAATTACTGAGTGATACAGTACCTCTGTTCTGCGTTACGAAATGGTCATAGAGGTCTAAGAGTTTGTGGAGGAACAGGTATAATGTCCCTCCAAAGGACCTCCGACCAGGCAAGGTGATCATGCCTGGTTTGCTACGGTCATACGTTTGATACAATTGTAAGAAGTATGTTTATGTTTCATTTTAGGCAGAAGTCGCAGCAAATCTGAAATGCAATAATTTGCCACGAACCGATACACAGGTATACTGAGTCTACCAATAGGGATGACCTGGTTTTGACAGCTCATAGCGGCCATGTTTGATGATGGATCTTTGATGTCTCTTAACATTTGTGTTCAGTAAGGTTTGCCACTTTATCATGTCACGTTTCACTTTAAACCAACGCTTGGAAATTGTCCAAAATTATTACGCAAAATCGCGTTCTCCTACCGCTGCAGTAAGAGCGCTTCGCGCAAAAAACGGTCGTCATAGTGCTCCTTCTGTGCGCGCTATAAATCGCATAATAACAAAATTTGAAAGTGAATTCACCTGTGAGACAAAGAAATGCCCGTAGTGAAGAGAATATCGCAGCCGTTCAGGCCAGTGTTGATGCGAATTCAAATTGATCAGTTCAACGCCGTTCACAAGAGTTGGGGCTCTCTCCAATGACCACCTAGCGTATTTTGCGGTTGGGTTTGGGCTTACACCCATACAAAATTGTTTTGGCACAAGAATTGAAGCCATCCGACCATTGTATCCGTCGTGAATTTGCCGATTATGCACTGGAAAGGATGGAAGCCGATGACGATTTTCATCGTAAAATCATCTTTTCAGATGAGGCCCATTTCTGGCTCAATGGATTTGTTAATAAACAAAATTGTCGCTATTGGAGTGGGTCAAATCCACGTGTGGTTCATGAATCACCAAAAATAACAGTTTGGTGCGGTTTATGGTACGGTGGAATCATTGGTCCGTACTTCTTTGAAAGTGACGAAGGAAACCCTGTTACTGTGAATGGCGAGCGCTATAACTCGATGTTAACCGAATATTTCTTTCCGGAATTTGATGATATTGATGCAGACGACATTATTTTGAACATGGAATTATTGCGTGGAAAGTTTGGTGAGTCGTTAATTTCGAGAAATGGACCGATCAGTTGGCCACCAAGATCGTGTGATTTAACACCTTTAGACTATTTTCTTTGGGGTTGCGTTAAATTTAAAGTGTACAGCAATAATCCAGCTACAATTGGTGACCTAAAAACCAACATTCGACGAGCCATAGCCGACATACCGGCCGAAATGGTGCCCCGCGTCATCGAAAATTGGCGTGAGCGAGTGACCGTCTGCAAAAAGACCCGCGGCGGTCATTTGGCCTATATATTATTTAAAACATAAATTGCATAAAATTATCTATCAAATAAATTAATCGGATGCATTTTTCATGAAAAAATGTGTGTTTTATTAAATTTTTAAACCAAGACGTTCTTATTGGTAGACCCCATATATGCTCGGTTCAGGGCGTTATTATATAATTTGCGTACTAAGAGTGTAAGGCACTCAAAATTCAGACGTCAAATAAAAGAACATTAAGTAAATACATTAAATGAGTAACTTCATATTTCAACAAGTCCATAAACTTGGATTAAGTAACGAGGATAAATATAAAATTGAAATAAATATGTAAAGAGTAAGAAGCGGGAGTCCATTAAATATTAAGTGAAGCGTCACTTACCAAAGTGAAGTATTTTCCTAACAAATTGCTGCTGAATTCCCTGGTACCAAATATATCGTATACTTTATATAAAAATATACTTATAGATAAATATTAAAGGTGGAATGTGACAAGTAAATGTCAAAATTTATGATTTTTTTTATATTAGCTTTTGCGCACGGTAATTTTTAAGTTTTTCAATCTCTTTTCCGGGATAGTAGCCTTTGTTCTATTCCAGACTATGATTTAGCTCTGTACCAAATTTCATCCAAACTTTTACATAAACAATATTAGTATACGAGTATATTGACGGGTATAAAGGAAGGACCCGAGTTGGATTCCCAGCCAGGACAAATAATTATATTACGAACACGATTATTTTATCTGTGTCTTTGTGTAATTCATCTACAACATGTTTGTCTGCAGTTTCGGCTCTGCCTATTTTGTGTGTGCGATGTCTCAAGTCAAGGCTATGAGTATGGCTAGAGATCTTAATTAAAATAAATAGACTTAGAAAAGTACTTTAGCCGTTATTATACGTATTATGTAGATGGCATAACTATGATAGAACAGACACCTTTTTTTTTTGCGTGCGGAAATCCCCTCGGATACCACCTATCACTATCACCTAAAACCGCACGCCGTCTCGGGTACTAATAGCCGGGGAACCAGGTATACCCTAGAAAGGAAGTCCCTGGTGCCCCGACATACCTCGGGCCATCTACAGACGAGTAGACGACCCCCCCCCCCGTGTGGGAACCCCATGTTCCCTCTGCTCCCTGGAAGCGAGCGCGCTTCGCAACGCGCTCGCAATAGAACAGACACCTGTTCTTGTCATTGAACTTGTAATATATAAACTAATTTGTATACCATTGGTATATTCCTATTTTGATATCTGATAAATTTCTTAAACGTGTTCACTGTTTAAGAGAAAAAAATCATTAAAATTTGTTTTCCCTATGGATATAACATTCTTTTGGTTATACATTTATATGTATTGTAGTCAAATTGTTATTGTTGATACGTCCGTGTGGTGACCGGTTAAGAATACTAAGTGTCACCACCACTATTTATCCCATGGGTGGCGTAAAAGGCGACTAAGGCAGCAAACTACGCAGGACAACAGCACTGAAAAGAGTAAGAAAATTTGACACAAACAACCTACAAAACCCCAAATACCAATTCGTCTTTTCACCGTGGTATAGTAGGCCAAAAACTCCTTTCTACAGAGAAGCCTACATAGGACAATTAAAGGCTGTTGATCATGATGATGATTATAACAATAATGTTATAATTAATAAACTCTAAAATTGTTTTAATCGTTAGTAACTTAATATTGAAATAAGTATGTTAGTAAATATTTGTTTAAAAAAGTCTGGAAATTTCTATGATAAACGAGGAGAACAACTAAATTTAAATTATGACGAAATTTTCCAAAGTTTATTTATTTAATTTGTGAATAATTGTTTTCAATTACTGAATTCACGAAATATAGAAGCGAGTTATTTTTAATGTCTCGAAACCCTTTCCCCTCCAACAACAATCCTTATGAAAGGTCTGATTTGTTATACAATTAAAATAGCTGGTCCGAGCAGTAACATTCAATCACTTCTACTACTCTTGGCTGTATGTTGGACTTTTAGACTTAAATTGGTGGATAAATTGAAATGAATTTAGCTATAGATAAACAAGTCTTATTCTTCTATTCTACTTATTTACCTGCAAAAAAATCTTATAAGCAAATACCAAGTATATGTATTTTGTTTAGTTGCGAGGAGGCTCAGCCGTCACGACGACTATCGATGTCGAAAGATTCTCGGCTTCAGTTCACGTCTCGTCTTGTTTTAACAAAAGTTATTGGCCAAGCAGGTGGTGAAAAGAGAACCCAACCTGACAACTGGTGGGATAGATATGTCAGATTCAAACCGACTAAAAACGTCACACCGTTTCGGGTGCCAGTAGCTGGAGACATCTGAAACCTAGAAAGAAAATCTCTGGTCCCTGACGGACCCTGGGCCATCTACGGCTTACAGATGGCCCTCTCGTGTGTGAGGACCACGGTATCCTTTTTCTTCCAAACGGCGCGTGTTACGAAACACGACGCGCTGTCACCCCGGCCTGCTTCTGCTAGAGGGACGACCTCACCTATCACTTCCAGGTGTGTGCTTATGGAGGACGGAGGTCGTTTAGCAACCTCCGGCGACTGCGCCGCCTGCGGTACCTTGCCTTCTAAACCTCTCCCAGCCTCACTACACCGCTTACTTCGCAAGCATAACTCGCTCGCAGAAGGAGACGGTGGAGTGGAGTACCATGGCAGTAATCATGGTACTGAACGAGAATACGCACTCCGATGGCCGTCACGAGGCCACACCTCTGTTTCACCCACGCCGTGCATTCTTGCAACGTGTGGAGCGCCACACAGTCCACGGTCTGGATAGTGTCTGGACGAGTCTGGACGGCAGTGGTGGCACTGAAGCGTTGACTCCTTGCTTATAAGATATAGGTGATCTCTGAAACATCCTTGCCCAGTGGTCACCTTCCGGCTGACGCGTAAGAGAGGATCCCATATTGCCTCTATTTAGATTTTACATAGACGAAGTCACCAGCCTTGCCTAGTAATAATATATTTTAAATTTACTGACTGAATAGCTGATGAAAACATATAATCCTAAAATTGTATTAAAATAATAAGAGTATAATTTGTGTGTGTGTAGGTACGTTGTATATTATTATTGTAATAATTTGAATATTAAAGTATAGGTTTTTTATTAAAGTAGATAATTGATTGTTTATTTAAATCAAAATTTTGAATTAGTAAAAAATAACACCCAATATAATATAATATGTACATAATTCGATAAGTGACGTTTGATTTAGGTACTTACAGCAATAGTATCTATCTAGTAGTTGTAGATAGCATTATATCTCCATTTTAAGAATTTAATCCAAAGAAAACAATCATAAAGGGGGATCCCCTATATTATATTCCCCTTATCACTGTTATCATGTCGTCTTACCACGACACATAATACTGCTTTGATAAACATGATACTTTGGTACTTTTAAAATAAATATAATCAAAGATGTTCATTGATTATCGTGCACGAAAATTGATTATCGTATGTTGTACTCGTATATTGTAATAATGATAATATGATTATTGGATAATTTCAAAATGAGCTGTATTTAACATCGCATGCAATTGAATATTGCTTAAGTGTTTATGGCAATGTTTACGTCTGAAAATTGATAACATAACTCTTCTGATAAGAATCCAGACACTTTATAAGCCGCTGTCATTCAAGAAATTCATTGCAGTGAAAGTAAATTGCTCAGAATTTCATTTCTGGCCCTTTACTGAGAAGCAGCTTGTTAAAGGTGAGTATAGTCCGAAAATGCACAATATATAGTTCAAATTCTGGAAGTTGAGGCACTTTTCCTTAAAAACAACTTATCTGAAAATTATTTTTGCTATAGAAGATATTCGACGTAGGGATATACCAAAGAGATCTTCAAACATTAAAATAATTTAAACAACGCTCCAAATTAAACGGCGGAGAGTAATGCTTCGGCATAAATGACCGGACTCGATCCACAGGGATACCATTGTTTGGCCTCAGAGAAAACGATTGTACAACACTTTGTTCTTGACTTTACACCGAGTAAGTAAGGCCATCGGAGCCCAAACCCTACACCCCTAGGCAGCAACACACTTGTGTCTTTTGAGTTGTCAAAAACCATCAGGTGACCCGTCAGCTCGTTTGCCCCACCAAACAAAAAGAAAAATAACAAAACAACTGTTCAAACAATAGACCTCCTAAATTAATTATATTTATAATGCTCATCGATATGAACCCCATTGTTACTCAGATAACGTCTTCCCTAATGAGCTGTCAAAGGTAAAAACGATATGTATGTTAAAGCTAAAATTGTAACATAATACTGTCTTAATTTAGATTCACAAGAAACGCTTTATTACAGGAATGGGAATAATATTTAGTTGTCGTATTTTCTTATTATTTTCAGACATTGGACTCCAACATATGTTCACGATGCTGATCCCGACAATTTCCTTTGCATTACTTATTTGTTTAATCGAAATACCAAATATAGTGAGAGCAGGTGAACATAACTCACAAATTAATGACTCGGCCGTGTCTCATAATTGTAAGTAAAGATTCAAGTTTATTTTATACATTTCTTTCTCTTTCTATATCCATCTCTTTTGCCAAGTAAGCCATGTCAAGTCCGTCTAGCGGTACCCTCTAAACGATTAAGCTATTTTTTTTAAGTATTGTAGTACATAAAGCGTTAGAAATTACCTAACTATCACCTTAGTTGTACTAGAACTAATCGCATTATAATTTAAAACTAAATATTGCCTCCTCTGCCACTGGAACTACCTGTCCTATAAATATTAAGTCTATGGCAACCATAGCTTGTACTGTGAGCTCAATATACGGTTTGTCTATATCTGTCATTTTTACTAACTATTAAATATTTCCACACAGGGCTAGTAACCCGGGATATGTGGTTAGCAAGAGAGCACAATAATACGGAGAAAATTGATGTACCTTTGCCACTCGTAGTCATACAGCACACAGTGTCAGCACAATGCAACAGTTTTTTTCAATGCGCTGCTCAATTGAGAAGCCTGCAGTCTTATTTCCTTAATACCTTTAATAATGATATACCGTAAGTAATTTCTAAGTATTGTCTTAAATTTTAACATACTCAATAACTTTACTTTTAAAACCTATTAATTGGATATTTAAAGAAGTTATTTATGACTTTTGTTTTCAATTTCAAAGTATAAATATAAACATCGCAGCAGTAACAACCTTCAGTTAAAATATTTTAAATATTATTTATGGTATGACTACCAATTTCTATACATTTAGATACTTACTTCACAGTAAACACTTTCCTACTAATAGTCCACTGCTGGTCATAGGCCTCTGCTTAAGAAGGAGGTCACATTATAGTCCTAATATGTGATCGTTTAATAATATACTTCTGCATTCTACATGGCCATAAGCAGGAACACTCCTGCTAATGGAAAACCCCAAAAAGAAACAACCTCTTGTACATGTACATACACATGTACATGTTCAAGGGGTTGTTTCTTTTTATTAAAGACATTTAAGTTTTTTTTTCTACTAACTTTTACTACTTTTAAACTAAATATAGTTGTTAAACTATTATACCAGGTACAACTTCATAATCGGTAACGATGGAAAAGTGTACGAAGGACGTGGATGGAATAAGGTTGGAGGGCATACACTGGGTTACAATCATTGTTCATTGGGCCTGGGATTTGTCGGTAAGAATTCACTCATTTAGTACTACATTATTTAGTAGAACACGATCTTCTTTTAAAAAGGATCGATGAGAGAGGCAGTAGCAGTAATATAATTCTTGTGGAAGGGTACTATCGAAGCTGAATGTTTGTCTTTAAAGTGGTTTCACATCGGTAGGACTGGGTGGAATACAAAACCGTAACCACTTCTTGGCAAGTCTGATGCCCGACTTGAATTATAATTTAATCAGCTAATATAATTCTAACTTTACACACTCTGTATAAATAATTATTAATACAGAGTGTGTAAAATTAGAATTATGTAAGCTTATCTTGAATTATTGTATGACAACATTTATTGAAACTATTATAGTATCCGATTCACTGCGCGTGAATATTGAAAACTTATTTTTCCAACATGATTTATACTTATTATGGATAATAATAAACTTTCTATTGATAGTATTGTAATGATTAATATCGATAGTATGACTGATGTTTTAGACTTCCATTTTCGCAGTAACACCAGTTATCAAATTATGTGTAACAATAATAATTACCGCATATATGTCACGCCTTCTAATCTCAAACTAGGCAGATCATGTACTATAGCAGCTGCTTAATTTATCTATATGCCACCTCTAATTTTGCCTTACATACATTTTTTATCACAGGTGATTACAGAGAGAACGTGAAAGGTTCTGCAAAAGTAACCGCCCTTCAAGAAGCAAGAGCCCAAATGTTGTTTTTAGAGGGTATAAGATTGGGACACCTTCGCCCTAATTTCCATGTACTTGGAGCGATGGATTTAATGTATACACTAAGCCCTGGTGAAAATCTCCAAGGAGCAATAAAAAATTGGCCAAATTATGATCATCAAAACCGATACAAGAATCGGAACTGTGATAAAATAAAAGAATTGGATTAGGATGAAAATAACAAACACAAAAAAATTTTGATAGACGTTGAATTTTTTTATTCAGTTTTAAGGCTAAAGCGGAAGGGTTTAAAGTTCTCCAGCAGAGTAAAGCAGTTACATACTTCTGTGTCTGAATTAAAAAATAAAAGTGAAAATGTAAGCCATGAAGTTTTTTTTAACAATCCTTATCATTAAATTTAATAAAGTCGTAGGTAGAGCGCAACAACGTAATGGCTAAGGCACAACGCACAGATTTTGAAACCGATCTTTTCTAGTTTGAAGCTCTGCCAAGGACGTTAGGAGGTACAGCTTGACGGACACAGGTCAGTGTAACTGCGAACGAATCAAGAAATAGCGGTTTTACTATCTACGACGTATCTCGTCGTACGCACGCTGAGTTTTTACAAGTGTAGGTTTTCTCTAAAGAGTTAAAAAGAGTTCAAATTCGTTTTTAATCAGAATTATAGTTTAGTACAAGAGAAGACAGACAGACGGCAGGACCTAAAATAGATGCTGAATGACCTGGCTGACTCTTGCGTGCGCATCGGCCTACGGATGAACTTGATTGGATAAAGCCACAGAAAGAATTACTAAACCACAGATACATATATGGGCCGGCTCGACTAGGGTGATACCAGAGACTTACAAAACTCTAGTGTTTAGTAATTTTTTCTTTGCTTTTCAACTAGTGAGTGAAGTTACCGGTGGTGCAACCTACCCCGTCCCTACTTCTAGGGGGGCTCTTATAGATCGGTAATACACTCGTGTCTCGTTAGTCTTGGCGCTAGACAACATCAGGTGACCGATTTGTTCGTTTTCCCCCATACCAAAAAAAAACGTTTTATTAATGAAACGCAAATATTTTATCGCCTTCGCAATATTGAATATCGTAACCGGCTATGACTGTTAACAAAAACAAGAGTCGAACTAAATAGAGCGTTAATCAGGTAATTTGAGTTCAAATTCCGTGTTATGTTTATGTGTCTCATTATCGCACAAAATGTTTTAACAACAGACAATCTGTGAGGAATTCAATAAGTGTGATAACAATTACGAGTGTTCAAAAACGTTATGTATCTACATGCTATATAAATTATTAATAGAAAACAGATGTTAATAGATAGGAATAGGTTTAAATAGCACTGACATAGTTATACTCAAAGTTGTATAGCTGCCCGTTCAGCCTGTGACGAGCCGGTACTCTGAGATATTAATTGTATAGTTATTATTTTTGATAGAGACAAGACTATCAATAGCAGTTTACCAAGGTAAGACTTACGTGGATATAAGTTCCTGTATACTTTTAAAAAAATCGTGTAGACAAGGCTATGGGTCGTCACTTCAAAGCGACTAAAACCACAAGATGTGCCGTCACATGTAAATCAATTGCAAGGGATTCGAGTACATCATACGAAGGAAGTTCTTTATACCGAAAGAAGACTTTGTCGTCGTCGTCGTCATCGGAAGTCGCTTTTGAAACTATGTTATCACAACGTCACAGTGCATATTATGTTCGTATTTACCTAGTAGTCAGTTGGTAGCTTGTAGAACGTCTAATAAAGCATTAGCTCCCAGTTTTCATATTATGAAAAATTACATACATGTCAAATTGATAATTTTTTCTTGAAATTCTGTTGAAGACAAGACATACAGGTACCTGTTTGTGTATCTGTATAATTACCTTGTTTAGAGATAGTAATATTAAAATATTTAAGTTAATGTAATATATCTTTTATTATTCTATACTAGCTTTTGCACGTAGCTCCAATAATGTAGCTTTCCAATGGTGAAAGAATTTTTAAAATTAGTTTAGTGGTGTAGGCGTGAAAGCATAACAAACAAACTCACTTTCATATTTATAATATTCTCGGAATTATCCAGAACGGAGAAAATTGTTGTTGTTGAAACTTTTATAACATAAAGATTTTTGAGTTTGAGTTATCCATAATGCCAAATGTGGAGGCCATTGTGCTTAACTCGACTTATACATATACATATTAATATATATTAATACTTTACCAGATTATTTACTATCTTTACCTTTCTACTATAAAGGTTGACAGTATAAAGAACCGGCGCGATGGTAGTCTTTAGGATATCTCTGCTGCTTATTCTTTACTTTACCGAGATACCAAGAAGTGTAGGAGCAGATGATGCTGAAGTCAAAGAAGGGACACCGTTAGGTCAACCTACTGATTGTGAGTATAACCACTTATCTTCTTATGTGCCCCTGTGTATAGTTTTTTCTATGTGTAATCGTATTGATTTACCTTTACAATAATTATGCAGTCGAAACTGTTTGCTTGAAACTTACAAAATTATTGTTTACAGGGTTTAAAACTAGAGAAATGTGGCGGGCTAAAAACTATAACTACACTAACAAATCTAATGTGTCTGAGCCTTTACGACTTGTTATTATACATGACACAGATAGCCAAAGATGCCATAGGTTTATACTATGTGCCTCTGAAATGAGACTATTACAATCCTACTATCATAGTAACTTCCAATATGATATTCCGTAAGTATTCCACGTAATAATAACAACTTCACACATCTAACTCACGGCCGTCTAATCCCAAACTAGGCTGTGCTGAGTAACCACACTTCTGATAAACATACCTATATATTTCTTAATACATATTATGTACATTTAATAGAAAAAAATAGGCCCAGACATAACAAATGATCGTGTTCACCACACAATTAATGTTCAAGGTCCTTCAGCTTAGCAGTCAGGGTCACTGACCACTAGACCATCAGACCTCAGGTATTTATAAATTGGATACTGCAGGATACATCTAAAACAACTCCATAGTCTTAACTGAGAAAAAACCTACATCTGACACAACAAAAATTAGTTACCTTGTATGAGTAACGGGATTTTCGAGTTTGTGGCAAAATTATTCTTGACCGGCCAGTTGGTCTAGTATTTAGCAATACTGACAGAGGGTCGAAGGTTTCATTTCATCAAGTACATATTTATTGTGCAAAATATGTTTATTTAGAATCATAAGAGCAGCAGCAGCAATCTTCTGAGTACAGCACTATCCCACTGCGATCGCCAACCCGCATGCCAATGCCAATGCATGTTTGCGTTGGGATTATCTGAAGTGGGCTTATGAGTGGCCCTGGAAAAGACGGAGGCCCTATTGTTCCATGGGCCCCGTCGTGGTCCGCCCCCCCCGGCACCTCCATCGTGGTCGATTCGGTCCTCATACCGGTTCAGGCCCAGATGAAGTATCTGGGCCTGATTCTTGACGGGAGGTGGCTCTTCGACGAGCACTGCCGACAGCTTGCTCCAAAGCTGGTCGGCGCTGCTTCTGCCCTAGGGCGACTTTTGCCCAAATTTGGGTGGAGCCAGCGTCACGACAAGACGGCTGTAGACGGGGGTTGTCCGGTCAATGACACTGTACGGTGCACCGGTGTGGGCGGTGGCTCTGACCGCCCAGAATAGGACACGCCTCTGGCGCCCTCAGAGAATATTGGCGGTTAGAGCCATACGCGGTTACCGCACTGTATCGACGAAGGCGGCGTGCGCGTTGGCCGGAACACCCGGGATTTGGAGGCGGAAGTGCTCGCCGAAGTATATCGGAGGACGGCTGAGTTCTGGGCGGTTAGCGGCTTTCGGCCCCCGTCCGAAGAAATACGCGAGTGGTGTAAGGCCGCTCGCCGAGCCATGATGGCTTATTGGTCGTCCCGGCTGGAGGCTCCACTGCTTGCTTTGCCGCCGTGGAGGCAGCGGAGGCGCGCTTACCAGCGCTTCATGCCGCCCTGAGTTTGCCTGCTTGTGGACGGGACGGGTTTTCTCTTCCACCCGCCATAATGGCCAGCCGCGAGGAGGTGACATCCGCGTGTGCCGGACGTCACCTAAATAGAGAATGTACCCGAAGATGATGCCCGCACAATTGCGGGCAAGCGCTAGGAGGGGTCCGGATGTCTTAATAACAGCAGTTCCCGGATCCCTTCTATTACAGGCGCAGAGTGGCACACCGTATGGTTTTAGTCGGTCCGATTCCGAAACACTACCCCGCCGCAAACCCCAGTGGGGTGACGGCCCGAGGGGGTTTCCACACGTAAAAAAAAAGGTTATACAGTTATACGAGTATTAAGAAAGCTTTTGATTCGATTGAAACTTGGACTGTGCCACAGTCTCTCCAGCGGTACCGAATTGTCTGTCAGTACATCGAAGTGTTAAAGTGTTTGTTCGGAAAGATGTGTGACATTGTCACGTCCCAAATACGGCAGTGTCTCCCTTAGTCGCAGTTCGCTGTCGAGTGGAGATAGCGTACTGCAACTAAGGGAGTAATAAGGGATAATGATTGATGATTACAATATTGAAATTTACGTAAGGATCTTGATTCTTCTTACGTGATGTAATGACAATGTAGCTTGACTAATGAACTAATTTCCAACATCGATTCAGAATCAAAAATACAAAAGTTTATAATATTAGTTTATATTGTAGATTCTTGTTTAGTAATACAGTTTACTTATTCTTCAGGTACAATTTCCTAATCGGAGGCGATGGCAGAGTGTACGAAGGTCGTGGATGGAATGTAGCTGGAGCCCATACAAATGGATACAACCGTTGCTCATTAGGCTTAGCATTTATTGGTTAGTATTCAACTGTTACAAATATATTTAACACTTTTATTGTGTACAATGCACGAGGCGGACTTAATGCCATAAGGTATTATTTACCGGTCAACCTCCGGGAGCTTTAATAATAGAAATGTTAGGTGTATCAGAATAAAATTTCATATTCATACAAATACCCGAATACATGCAACTTCACAGTTATGTTCGCTTGAAGTTTTCTGCTATAATAATCGATCATCGATCTAGACTTTTCTATAAATTTAAACGAGAACCGAGAAGGTTTAAGGTGGAAACTACATTGTATTCAGAATGGTCATAATCCTCGATAAGCCTAAGTACCATACCAAAAACGGGTTACTTCACTGGGGTACCGGTATGGGCAATATCAAGGGGTTGTCTTATCCGTTGCCTTCAGGGAAGTGACTTTGAAGGTTTGCTATTAGGTAGGAGCGCTGATGTTGTTCGTCGATTTTGGTGACGCCTTTCCGTTTAATTTCTGCAGCCTCTTTGCATCTAAAAAGTTGCGCAAATTTAAGTAGATTGGTGTGTGGCACCTCCGCTTGCATATTGATTCCAAGGCAATAGGTTTATGTGTATACAAATTTTATTATATATATATACTATATATTTCTACCTAACAGGTGACTACAGAGATGATTGGCCCTGTTGCACCGTAGTTACAGAACTGCAGCAGCAACGAGCAAAACTACTACTCGAAGAAGGGGTTAAACTAGGTCACCTTAGTCCTAACTTCCATGTTCTTGGGGCAAAAGATCTGCGAAACCCACGAGGTCCAGGTACCAATCTTTATAGAGCGATTAAGGGTTGGTCTAACTACGACCATGTAAATCTGTACAAGAACCTTACCTGCGAAGAAATAGAACAACTATAGGTCATTCTTATATTTATCCCATGGATGAGAAAAACTAACGAGTATTCGTTTTTCCTATATAACTATAATATTTCTGAAATATTATCGTTTGTATCACTTTCGAAATTATCTTGGTTATTTAGTGACGATATACACACATTTTAATAAAGTGTTCAGTACTTTTTCTCTCATTTTTCTCTCTTTTTTAGTAGCTAAAATGCTTTAGTAGTAAAAAATTATAATAAAACAATGTAAGTTTATTCCTGCTATCCCCTTTTCCTACCTTAAACACTAACAACAGTTGTAGGACAAATTTTGACATATGTTCTGGTCAGAAAACTTTCTGGTTACTTATAAGTCATCGATAAACGATAGACACGTCATCAATAAACGATAAACGAAGACGAAACATATGTATGGTCAAATTACGTGCCGATAAATAACAACAAACTGAAACAATAACTACCATGTTGCAATTTGTTTGTTTGTTAATTTGAGAACTAATAATGTAAAAGTATAAAATAAACGACGACCATGATGAAAAATAGTAGCCTTTGTTCTTATTCTCGTTTAGATTGAGGAGCCACTTTTCATATCGTAATGAAACTAATATTATTATTTAGTAGTAAATTTAAAAATTGTAGCCTCGATCGTGTTGATTTTGTAATATAATACTTTTAAAGTTATATAAACATAAAGGTGGCTCCGCAATCCAAACGTAAACCAAAACATAATAGATGTATATTTATCATAATAGGTATTTTTTTCGTTCCGCTTCGTACACAAATCTATTGTACTTTATTTCATTTAAATATTTGCAGGTAACTGCATATCAATATGGTTACCTACCTACCCTCAATAATATTTATGTATACACCACGACACAAGAGTCAGTATATAAACACTGATAAATAGTTATAGCATTCGTAGTGAATTATATATTTAATTATTCTTATCGAGACAAAACGCGGCAAAAATAGGTGGTAGTAAGTATATAGCTGTTAAACAATTTATTCCTGCTATTAGCGACGCTGGCAAAGCACAACTATACATATCACTATCCAAAAAAGGATGAGATATTTTTACTTACATTACTTTATTACTATACTATTACACACATACTATTACTATTACACTTCACGCTCATAAATACAGATTGAGGAGCCACATTAAAAGTATTGTATATTCTTGAATATCATAACTAGATTCAGATTTTTGATAGGCACTATACACAATTACTACTAAATGATACAAAATTTTCAAAAATATTCATTAAATACTTTCCATGTTCCGGGTGGCTCCTCAATGATAATGCTTAGATTGAGAGGCCACTTTTACATTGATTTAACTTTGTTTGTTTGTTTGATTAATACATCTTACTATATCTTACTATCTCAGGATTTGTCCTACAGAATTATTTCCTCACCTTCTAAATAAGGGGTGAGTTTCCGTTTAAAATCTTATCAATAATATTAATAATTAATTACTTATTAATAATAATAACTTATCAATAAAAGTAGCTTAATACCATATTTCAATAAAATTGGTTTAGCGGTGAGCCGTCACAGCGCAGAACAGTTACTTTCGCATTTGTAAAATTAATAGAAAATTATTATTGAATTGAATATTTTCTCAGAACCTATGTTCTCTTAAACTTATGCAAAGTGGTAAAGAAGGTTATTTTTTGAGAAAAAAATCTAAGAAAATTTTATCTAAGAAAAAATATTCTACAATTTATAATTTTCCTTTCGGTTATCAACGTGTCAATTCTCAGTCAGCCTATTCTACCACATGATCAACAAAGATTAAAATTGGCACTGTTAGTCACGATGGACCATTGCATTGGTTGCTTTTCGTAACCTTTATTCACGTACAACAATTTTCTGTGAACCCTCCAGATGTTTCCACTCGTAAATATGGCATATAAAATATCTTCGGGTCTGGAGATCTTACGTTATACAAAGAGATGATATCCGTCTCCTAAAGACTCGTATCTATTCGTAATCCATGTTGATTGTAAGATAATCAAGAATATTATGTATTTTACAGCTTTATTTTAACATTATTGTTACACATTTACTTGAAAAATGACATTTATTATCTAGTTATTTTACCAAAGTGATCTTTTTTTTCATGTCATGAACTAAAGTCACTTCTACATAGAATTTTCAATCGAGTTTATATTTATCAAATATTAAATACTTTTTACAGTAATACTTTAGAAAAATCACATATTTACGAAATATTATTATAAGAAAATTAAAACTTATTCTATTACCTTAATCTTAATGCACTTAAAACAATGGTTGTTACACCCTCATATATCTACTGTTAAGCACGGTTCGTACATGTTGTACATCTTGGAACCTCGAAGGTAAAGGATTTACTTAATACTTTTCTAGCATTTTTTTGTGAATCAGATACACACTTCATCGCACGTTACTTCATCGGTCCCGGTTGCCATACGAAAATCTATACTGAGGCAGTCGTTACGGGTAGACTGTTGTCCGACTTTTTAGGGTCCCCTAAAAAGTCGGACAACAGTCGTTCTACAGAACTTCGATATCCTACTTGAGTTGTGGAGGTTTTGATGGCCGTCGCTCTTCCTAAAAATCTAAGTTCGGCCATGTCGTAGTACATTTAAAGCCGACCCCAACCTAGTTTGAAAAAAAACCTCTAAGGATCAGTGTAATAGAATGAATTCTTAAAGAATGTTAAAAATCAGAAACACTTTTCATTAATGCATGCAATACTAAAATAGCTTAATTTCAACACAAACACTACCTATTTCGCGCAGTGTCAACATAGGGGAATGTGCCCTAGTTCCCGCTTCGCACATGTCACTGTTTGCGAAGCGACAAATACTGGTTCAAAGTTTACCACCTATTATTCTCTGGGCAGTGTTTGTAATAAAAATAATAGTGAATTATTGTTTTGAATTGTCACCAAATGTAAATAGTTCTTTTTTCTAATATGATTTAATAAAATTAAAGTTTTCTCTTAAGTTTTAAATAACAATAAAAGCTTTATAGACTTAAACCTAATTTCATAATCAATTAACATTTCATATTTATGAATATACTAATTAACTGTGTGGCCAGAGCGAGAAACACAGGTACACACCTCGTTTGAGGGTCAGAGGCTACCCGCCCCTTGCCCCATGTATATTCTTAGATGTAGACGGCAGGAACTAATTTTGTAAAATTACCTAATTAAAGATTTTATTTATTTATTACTAGCTGGGTGCCCGCACGCTGCGTGATACGTGAGTACAAGCCATGAGGCCTCGGGTTCCGGGCAAAATTTTATATCGTTTCTGGGAGGAAAAAAAGCCTAAATTACTCCTTATATAGACAGCTACCTGGTAGTAACACTTTATCAAAAGCAGTAAAGCCGTTTTGAAGCATACCCGGCACAAACAGACAGACAGACAAAATATATTTAAACTGGTTTTTAGGCATATCTTGCAAATAACCGTGTGAGCCTGAAAGAAACCTATTATTTTCACATTACAAACAGACATTTCAATTTTATTTATTTGTATAGATAGATTATTTGTATAACTATTTACTGTATAGGAGCGTAAACAAGCAGACGGTTTACCTGATGGTAAGTAACTAACGCCGGCAAAATTGCGTCCCTTTGAGTCTTCCCCCAGAATCAAGGGGGAGGACTCAAAGGGACACAGTTTTGGGGCTCCAGTAACGGCTCGGTGAAGAGTAACGCAGGAATTGTTCAACACCAGTTTTCTGTGAGGCCGTGGTATCAGTCCGGTTGAGTCGGCTCATTTGTGCAAAAGCATGGCTCACCCAAGACAAAAGTATTTAATTTTAAAGCGTTGGGTAGTCTTCGATTGATAATAATTAACAGATATGATATTAAAGCATGACAGTAGATGCTGGCGTGGACAAGTTATTTTTTTAATAATTGGTTCAATAACGCAGGAAGGAAAAAAACATACATGTTGACGTTTAATTTTTAATTCGTACACACGCTGATGGACTAGACGTGTAAGCTTGCATAGCTTACGGTGACTTGACAAGTCAGTAGTCTTCATATAAACGTAAACGTATAGCTGGTAAAGTTCATTCAAAAGAATTAATATAATTAAGTAATAATGCAACGGCATATTATTTATAAGTATATAAAGGACGATAATGTTTAATAAAAAGTAGCAGAACCGTAAAAATACACATCTACTCTTAAACTATGTAGGTCGTCATGTTGAAATTAGAGTGGATCAATACGGGTGGTGCTATGTAACCTAAATCCATGCATTTTGGGAAATGGACCCCAGCCGGACGTGTAACATGCTTCAATCACAGAGCACACTCCGGAGAGCTGTATTTACTCTGTATATAAAGTTGTGTTGATCCATTGTTGAATTAATAACGTCATTTTGATTTATCTCTGAATTAGTTCAGGCTCTAACTTGTCAACAGGTATGTTGTTGTTGTTTTTATTTGATATTTCTTGATTATACAAAGAAAAATAGCTATCGTCGTATGAATATTATATAACATATGCTTTCTAGTAAAAGAAAATATAGGGGTTTTTGGTGTAACAAACAACACAACGTTTATCACCTTGGGATAATAAAGTTTATAGTTTTAGAGCATGACTTTTGAGGTTATTCAAGAAAAATGACAGCGCATGTCGAATCTAGGTGTACATAACCGTCCGTCAGTTTACCGGGGATTTCCTTTCTAAGTTTCACCTTGTTTCCCCGGCTACCCGAGACAGCGTTCGGTTTTATTTCAAGTCCAACCTAACCATCCTACCGGTCGTCCGGTGGAGGTTTTCCGCACGAAATATACAAACATTATAACTGATAATGATAATCAAATCAAAGTCCGTTGAGTAGGTTGGACAAAGTTAGTGGATATATAGGCTAAAGCATAAACGCGCGGATGTCCTAGTGGTTTAAGCGGCGGAGTGTTGTAGGTTCGATTCCCACATGAGACACCACTTTGTATTCTGAGTCTGAGTGTTCTTTGTGTCCGTTTCATGTATGTTTGTAA